TGTGTGTGTGTGTGTTTGTATATGTGTGTATGTGTGCATGTTGTGTGCGTGTGCGTGTGTGCATATGTGTGTGTGTGTGTGTGTGTGTATGTTTGTTCTTCTTTCTTTCTTTCCTTATTTGGTTATTTGTTTGTTTCTTTCTTTCTTTCCTTTTTCTCTTTCAAACTCTCAAGTGGACCCACACTTCAGCGAGAGCGTAGGCGAACAAAAGTAATTGGACATACACGCTTGACTCACGCTCATATTCAAGTACACTAAGTAGACACACACGCACGCACACACAAACACACACACACACACACACACACACACACACACACACACACTCACACAGACATACATACATACAGAGAAAGAGAGAGAGGTGGAAGGGAGAGGGAGAGAAAGAAAGAGCTCAGACAAGACAGAGAAACACAGGGAGAGAGAGAGAGAGAGAGAGAGAGAGAGAGAGAGAGAGAGAGAGAGAGAGAGAGAGAGAGAACCCCCGATCTCGCAACCTCACGTTTACGATTCCGGTAGCCTAATCACAAGGCTAAATAATAATAGCAAGTAACTTGTAAAGAAGCTGATGTACAGAAAAGTGCTAAGACTTGGAATAATATAAAGAGGCTAGCCCTGGATAGAGAAAGGTTGAAAGTGTTTGTCTGTGACCTATAGGTTATAGATCTACCCTGGTGCAGGGTGAGAAAGGCAAAGATGAACTTGTAATGAACATAAACACGCAACTCGCTGCTGATACCAGCGCCTTTCCCGATCCTAAAATTGTGTGCTCATCTGTCCCCGCGGTTTTATCCCCAAAAAAATTTCTGAAATTATGCAAACTGAGCCAAAAAAGTGAAATTATACGATTCTGTTAATTTTAACAAAGGTTGATAAAGGAAAATAATCAGAAATTATGCAAAAAATGGTCAAATTTTGCTAAATTATGCGCGGTGCATAAAACCACGGGGACAGGCTTATCTGCCGAAACATATTTTTATGGTTAGTTGGTGAAACCTTCTTTCTTATGACTTCAGTAGTGGCCTTCAAGGGTTATTCTTGTTTTATTAAGTTTTACAATAAGGTCATATAAGTGCCGAAGATTAGAGGTGTTAAAAGAGAGTAACATACACAAAAAAGGAGGAGAGAGAAGGACGACAGACGTTTGACAGGAAAGAAGGGGCAAACCACACCAGAGCACCCGCCAGCCACCCACTGAAAAGTGTTTGTCCGTGGCCTATACCCTGGTGCAGGGTGAAAAAGGCAATGATTAATAACTTATAATGTACATAAACACGCAACTCGCCGCAGATACCAGCGCCTTTCTCTTTCCTAAAACGATGTGCTTATCTGCCTGAATGTAATATTATTATGGTTAGTTGATTCAACCTAATTGTGGCTTCGATTGTGACTTTCAAATGCTATTCTTCTTTTAACTTTTAGTAAGTATTACGGCACTTGTAAAACAATAAGATCATATAAGTGCCGAAGATTAGAGGTGTTCTAAGAGAAAACATACACAAAAAGGAGAGATAAGGACAATAGATGTTTGATAGGAAAGAATGAGCATATAGAAGTCATATACGTGCTGAAGATTAGAGGTGTTACAAAAGAGTAACATCACACACACACACACAAAAAAAAAAGTAGGGGAGATAAAGACAATAAAGATGTTTGATAGGAAGGAAGCAGCAAACCACGTCAGAGCACCAGACAACCACCCAAGTCTCATACTTTTATAGAATACATTTCTCCACAGGAACATAGCGTACCTGACAAACCACACTTACAAAGTTTTAACCCAAATCCTCTACATAGCTGTATTAACAAAGACAAGAGTTCTTCTTTCCGACCACCTGTCGGCCCACCCACCTGTTTTGTAACTCCACGATAGGTTGTCTTGTTTTGTTGCTTTGTTTTTTTTTGTTTTTGGGCAGTTCAGATCAATACTATGACACCCAATCCTTCTGATGTTCGCGCCTCGCTCAAAAACCGCATTGAATTTCTTGCAGGGTGAAATGAACGAAAGGGGAGCCAAACATTCCATTGAGTATTTAAGGAGAGAGAGAGAGACAAGTAGGACGTGTGTGTCGTTTTTAGATTAAGTAAGAGTATCACTATCACGGCGCTGGCAACACTTTTTGGTCATATAAGTGCCGAAATTTAGAGGTCTTACTAGAGTTACTAACAAACACAAAGAAGGAGGAGAGATAAAGGCAATACATGTAGATGTTTGATAGAAAGTTTAGGAAAGGAACAAACCGCACCAGAGCCTCCGCCAACCCCCAAGGTGCATGTCGTGGAAAACAGATTGATTGTAAACACAAACACACACACACACACACACACACACAC